AAAAAAAAAAAAAAAAAAAAAAATAGTAAAGTACAATTTTTGCAACATTTGAAACCAAATTTGTAACACGAATAATTCTGCGGAACTAAATTTGCAATTTTCTTTTTTTCAACACGACCAACGGTGCAATAGTTTTGGCAGGACTGGAATCAAATTTGCAACAAAAATAAAAAAGACCGGTTTTGTAATGTATGGGTACTAATTTTACAATAGGACCAAATTTTCAATTCTCTCAATTGTGAGGTAGGAAGCAACCAAAAACAATAGTGAATCTGACATCAAAACTTAGCCACAGGACCATAACATAGCAAGCAAGCATCAATAATAAAATCGTGAAGCAACATACCATCACGCAGAACATAATAAATAGGTAATGAAAATGGAACCAAGTATATCATTTTTCAAAACATATAAATCCACTTTTGATGCATCAAAACTTGATATTTCAAACTAGTGCTAGAGTCGAAACCGTTCAAAGATGACAAATCTACTACAGATAAAAGATTAAAAAAAAGGTTGAAGAAGTGTTGCATACAAAAGAGCCACTTTTGCAACTTCTTAATCGAAGAGACTGAATCCCAAATCCTGCAACAAGAAACAAATAAATGAAGTCAGGCACACCGGTACAGTTTTCATCTAGATGCACATTATAATAAAATATAAAGAGATGCAAAACTATATTTGTTCTCACGTCATCAGACTCCTCTTTCTCTTCTACTTTCTCTTCTTTCTTTGTCTCGGCAGCGGCAGCCGGTTCAGCACCACCTGCACTGCCACCTGAGGCGGCAACAGCCACTGCACCACCTCCAGAAGGCACCGAGGCCAATTTTTCCCTTCCGGAAGCAATCAGCTCAGTGATGTCTTTTCCCTTCACTTGGGACAAAAGCAACTCTATCTTCTCATCCTCTGCCTCGGCTCCAACTGAGAAAAATCACACAGATTAAGCTCATTGATAAGCACATTCAGATGATTAATACCATATACTTATTAACAAAAGGAAATTAAAAATCATTCGATAACAAACTTGCTATAGAAAAATGGAGACCACCAAAATCAAAGCAAATATACTAGTCCATTGGGGACTCAAATGCCCCTATAAACACCAAATCCAAAACATCAACAGAATTACGAATCTGTAATCGAGTCTACAAGGGGGTCTGTTCTAATGAAACAAAATCCTCTACCACAGTAGACCCAACACAAATTTTTTAACTGACATATAAGATTACATCACAAAAACAGAAGTTGCAATAAGAAAAAAAGAAAAATTTAAAAGGAAAACCCCCAGCTAACTCTGTAATTACATGTTAAAAGCAAAACAAAAGTAACTAGATTGAATGTTTTTAAGTCTAATTTGGACAGACCATTGACCAGCACAGAAGAATAAGCGATTTAAGGATTTAACTAAGCCACAACACACTAAGAAAATGTAAACAATTTTCGCATAAAAAAAGAAAAACAGAAAATAAAAACTAACAGCAGACTCAGCCCAATATAATGGAGACGCAAATCTAAATTCCCAGATAAAGAAAAATAACAGAAACAAAAACAATCCATGCGCTTCTGAACATAAATTAAAATCAGATTTACACAGACGCTAAAACAAACAAAGAAGTAATAACAGAAGGAAAAAGAACAAAATCACAAGCAGAAAAATGTACCTGAGCTGAGGATATCCTTAACATCATCGGCGGAGGGGGTTGTGTTTCCTCCCAAAACAGCCAACAAGTAAGCTGCTATCACCTTCATCTCTATTCAAATCATACAATACAAACAGAGATTTCGTTAAAGCATCAGAACAACACAATAATTCACACAGATAGAAAACATACAGAAAAAAGGGGGCAAAAGCCTTAGCGTTACTTGCAAGATTTGACGCTCGAAAGTCTAGATTTGGAAAGGAATCCTGCTATCGCTCAAACAGCTATTCGCGTTTTGCTGTACTATCGAGGGGATGAACGATATTTATAGTTAGGGTTTACGTAACCTAGTGTGCGTGTAGACCCAGAAATGCACTTGGGCTTTTCAATTGGGGTTGTAGCGCAAACCGTAAACCCATTACGAACGGGCTTTTGCATTTAGGATTATGGACAAATTTATTACGAACGTGCAAGGATAAATATAAGGGAAATTTTTAAATTGAAAATTTCACAAACCAACCATCCACAAACAAGTAATAAGTAATTGTGTCTCTACCTAATTGTCAAGATTTAGCTACATTTATGCCTAAAATACAGTTACCTAAAAAGTGGACTCATGATTTCCGCTGTTTCCAAACAAATATCAGTTATCTAAAATTCAGTTACATTTAACTACAAGTAATCTACTATTCATAGTAGGTCGCATGATTTCCGCCGTTTCCAAAGAAAAAAAAAAATAAAAATTGCATTCATTGATATAGAATGAATATCAGAAAACTAACTGTGTTGCGGAGAAAATGAAAAAATAGGAAATTTGAATTTGAAGCTCGTCATTGATATGGAAGTGTATATCTTAGGTATATTTTATGTATATTTGGGTTCTGAACGAATTCGCAGTTCGGGGATCGAGTGTGTACATCTTAGGTATATTTTATATATATGGGTTTTAAAATCGATTTTGAGAAACAATTGAAACTCGAGTGTATAATTAAAGTATATTTTATGTATATGTGTGTCCCGATCTGTCTCTGGCTAGAATTATGATAATCTCGAGTCTATATTTCATGTATATTTTATGTATATGTGTGTTGTCTTTGGTATATAATGTATATACCCGCAACATGTAAATTTTCATATTTGATGGTAACATATAAATTATGTATACAATTTCATACCCGAAATATATAAATTTTCATACCCCGAATCATATACTGAAATTATATTGTATATACTCGCAACATGTACATAATAGAACTAACTATCAACGAATCATGCACCCCAAGTTTTCGACAATTATCCTCTGAGAAGTTTTTCGTCAAAACAGATTCAATCATTGCCAAAACAATACCAAGTTATTTGTCAACAAAAAAATAAATACCAAATCAACACCAAGTTATTTATCAAAAACGGATTAAAGCACACCAAATTTTCGTCAAAATGAATATCTAAAACAACATAAACAATAATGAACCAAAATTAAAAACAGACAAATTTCTCAATTTTCATGAATGCAAATTCTCTCAGTTGGGAGCTTCGGATTCTCTCAGTTGGGACCGTTTCACTTTTCGATTTTCGCTGATTTTGTTTTGATTCTGCCATCTTTCTCTCATCCTTGTTCCCCAGATCTTGTTGTGGCTGTTCATCTTCGTTCCGAGCATCGTCGCTGCTAGGGTTTTTCTGGATTCAGGCCATAACCTTTCTTTTAATGGCGAGGACATCTAGTCCTACTCACGACGAGGATTTATCCACCCGTATGGAGAACTTCTCTCTTTCGGATAGGGAAGCCTTGCTAGTTGACATAGCCCAAAAATATATTCGCTATAACGCCGATGAATGCAACAGAAGTTTGTTCGGCAAAATAGTGGGAGATCGACCAGCAAGCTGGATAGGTATTAAAAGATCCAAGGGTCATATTTGGAGGCTTGCTCAACCGATGGAGGTAAAGGAACTCGAGCCCAATTACTTTTAGTTCTTATTCCAAAGCAGAGATGATCTGAAGAAAGTGTTGGGAGGTACTAATGGAGCTTCGAAAATCGGTACTTGATTCTATCAGAGTGGAAAACTGGTCTTAATAGTAAGAACTCTTGCTTTCAGGAGCTCAAATTATGGGTGCAGGTGACTAATGTTCCTCTGAACTGGCTTTGCACGGAGGTGGGTGTTAAAATAGGCAAAGTTTTCAAAGCAGTGGATAATGTGGTTATCACAAACTTTGGGAATCATGGAGGCAAATTCCTTCGACTACTGGTGACTCTAGACTTATCAGAGCCTGTTCCTAGATGTACCGAAGTCAGATTAGGTGATCAAATAGTGACCATAAGCTTCAGGTATGAAAAGCTCAGAAGCTTATGTCATTACTGCGGGCACATCAGTCACTTAGACAGGGTTGTAAACAAATCAAATATTTTTTATTCGATTCGTGATTCGAAATCGATATTCGTGATTCGAATTCGAAATATTCGAATTCGAATTCGAATTCGAATGATGTTTTAGATTCGAAATTATAACGAATTCGAATCCGAATATGTAGATATTCGATTCGAAATTCGAATATTCGATTCGTTAATAATAATTATATAAATTTTACAAATTATATATAATATATATTTTGTTTATAATATATGTATATATATATTGTTATATTCCTAATATTTTTATGACATAAAAGTAAAATATCATAAATTAACAAATTTTTCTACAAATATATGAAAAATAAAATTATTTTTGTAATTATAATATTTTTTAATTATAATATCTTTATACAAATTATATATAATATACATTTTGTTTATAATATATGTATATAACTATATATATATATATATTGTTATATTCCTAATATTTTTATGACATAAAAATAAAAACATCATAAATTAACAAAATTTTCTAAAAATTTATGAAAAAAAAAATTATTTTTGTAATTATAATATTTTTTAATTATAATATTTTTTTTAAAACGAATTTCGAATCGAATCGAATATGTTCGAATATTCTAAACGAATCGAATACGAATCAAAAAATGAATTCGTTATCGAATCGAATCACGAAACGAATCTTCAAATATTTTAAACGAATCGAATCAAATCTCTGAGTATTCGCTTTGATTCGATTCGTTTACAACCCTACACTTAGAGAAGGGATGTTCTAAGAAGGTACAAGACATCAGATCCAGCAGTGTTGAAGAAGGCCAATATGGTGATTGGCTTAAAGCTCCTAAAGGTCTATTTTGGTCAACTAGCAGCAACACTAATAATGCAGGATCAAGGAGTCCTCCCCGTAGCCCAAACAATTCCCAACAAACAACATACCCAGATCAATGCTCTCCACAACAGGACATGGCTAACCAGACATCCCTCAAAAACCAACTCATAGTTCACTCAGCAGAACCTAACCCAAATCTTATTGCGCCTCAATCAATGGTTCATCTTCAAATTCCCCAGCAGACCCTCTTATTACATCAGGATCCTCACAAATAATTCCTCAGATGGAAGAACCTGTCAAACTCATGGAAATTGAAACTAGACTTCCTTTAACTATCATGGCCAGTACTTATGTGACACCTGACAAAGGCAAAGGCATTTTGAAAACATGGAAAAGAGTTGGATCAAGGGAATGTCGTCTACAAAGATAAGAGGAACAACTTGAATCTCCTCAGCATGGCAAGATAACCAGAAACATAGCAGAACTCCCTGAGAACAAAGAAGAAGAAATTGATCAAGGGCAGCCAGATACAACAAATAAGAAATTGAAAGCAAGAGCAAAGGAGGTGGGGGCGGCCAACCTTGAATGGCGCGCAAGTTCTCAATGTTAGTTGCGGTGTAGAACTATAGAGGGTTGGTGGGCCCTCTACAGTTTCACAAATCAGAGAGATAGTAAGGTCTTATCACCCAGCTTTTACTTTCCTTTCTGAAACTAAAAAGTCTAATGCTTTTGTTAAAACTGTGGTTAGAAAGTTAGGCTTTGAGGATAGGTTCTCTTTGGTTGATCCTCAAGGTTTTAGGGGGGGGTTTATTGCTTCTTTGGAACCCTGATGTACATATTATTCAGATTTTATGTTCTTCTTTTTTCATTGCTGTCCATTCTAATCTTCCTTCTTCTGAACCCCAATGGGGGATTTTTGTGTATCTGAGTACCTGTAAAATCCAAAGGGCATCTCAATGGGACTTTTTAGCTTCTGAAAAATGTAAATGGGGTGCACAATGGTTCATGGCAGGGGATTGGAACGACCTTTGTTTCATCTCTGAGAAGTTAGGGGGAGTATCTAGGTCTGCCATCAGTTTTCTGGGTTTCAGATCCTTTATTGACACCATGGAAATGGAAGAGATTAAGATGTTGGGCTACCAATATACTTGGTGCAACAATAGAGGCCCTCAGTCCAATGTTGAAGAAAAGCTTGATCCAGCCTTTGGCTCTCTATAGTGGATGCAGTCTTTTCCTAATGCAAAAGTATTAAATGTGGTGTCTTGTTCCTCTGATCACTCCATTATTCTAGTTGACCAGGGTCTGCCTAGAGAAAGAAGACCCAAAAGATTTCAGTTTGAAAGAAGATGGATTGGCAAAGCAGACCTATTTGATGTGGTTTCTCAGGCATGGCTTCAACCTGTTTCTGGGACTCCTTTCTTTCAACTTAAGGAAAAGGTGAAGAATACAAGACTTGCTCTTCTGAAGTGGATCTCTCAATTCCATACTCAGAACCAATCAAATTGCCTCTCTATCCCATAAGCTGCAAATTCTAAGGGAAGACAAAGATGACTCCAAGTGGGAAGACTGGAATCAAACCAGAAGAGATCTGGACAAAGCTCATCATCAGGAGGCTCTTTACTGGCAGCAGAAAACTAAATTTCACTGGCTCAAGCATGGAGACTGCAACTCCAAATTTTTTCATGCTTACACATCTCAGAAGAGGAGAATGACTGCTATCACTAGGCTTATTAATGCAAGAGGTGAGGAGTTAACATCCCAGGCTGACATCCAGGAGCACATTGCTGAATTCTACAAGTCTTTATTCTCTTCAGAAGGTTCATGGGGAGGGAATTCCTTAATGCAGCTGATTACTCTATCCATCACTCAAGAATGAACCAAACTCTTATGGTACCTGTGGAAGAAGAAGAGATCAAATCAGCTCTATTCAGCCTTCACCCTGACAAGGCCCCTAGAGAAGATGGTATGAATGCTCTTTTCTACCAACACTTTTGGCAACTCATTAAATCTGATTTTATTGCTGCTGTGATGAGTTTCTTTCACTCTGGACAAATGCTTCAATACTGGAACCATACCATTCTTTCACTGATTCCTAAATGTGATTACCCTGATTCTGTGAGCAAGTTTAGACCTATAAGTCTTTGCACAGTGGTTTACAAGGTGATTTCTAAAGTTCTTGCTCAAAGATTAAAAATTTGTTTAGATGGTTGTATCAGTGGGTATCAATCAGCTTTTATCAA